AAGTTCGTCTTGGATGTTTCGTGCCCAGCCATAAATTCGCTGGTTGTATTCCTCAGTTTGGGAGCTCTTCTTTTTGGCTACCAGTCTTAGTCCCTGGTCTTGTCATTTTAATGATCGCATTTTTCAAAAGTCTTTATAGAAACGTTTCAGCATCGAATGAAAAAAGGAGCCCGATGAAAATGTATTCGAGTTCAGGTGGGGGCCGCTGCTCCTCTCTAACATCGAGCGCGGGTGCAATAGCCGATTTTGCGAGCCTGTAATAGGGGTTAGGAAGGTTGCTTTCCCGAAAAATTTTTTTTACCCTCGCTCTGGGAGACAAGGTACTCCTTGTCTCCCAGGGCGAGGGGTCGATGACTCAACCGAATGTCCAACGATTACATCATCCCAGGTTTATGCTTTTATCTCACCCATCCCGGTGTTTCTCCCCTTCTGAAACTTAGGTAAAAACCATATTCCTTTGCTTAAGAACCGTCTCTAAGCATAAGTAAATCGGGTACCTCTCCTTCTCTGAGCTCTAGCGGACAATATTTTAGGGAAGGTGGGCGCACTCCCCAATTACATTGTCATCAGAACTCGCGCTTTTGCTTATAAGCATCCAGGTTCTTTTTCAGACAAAATGCTGAATCTCCAAAAAAGAATCAATGGAATCGATGACAACAAAAAGTATATGGAGACGCGTATCGCCATTCGAGAAAAGCTACTCGCTCAAGGTAAATTCTCACATAAAGCCGTTGATACAATTGCAGTTAGTACGTATCTGTAGTGTTCTTCAATATCAATTCGAAAAAGTCTTCCACCCAGCATGGCTTTTGGCCTGCGGTCGCTGTTGTAGTTAGGAAAATGGTCTTCTCAGTATCATTGCAGCTGAATGTTACATAGAAGTAAGGGTGTGTTCAATTGTTCAGTACGACCTGCAGCTGTGACAGGCGTGACAGCATGGCCACGCTTTGAGCTGGGCGGATCTTCTGATTTTTCGGTGACTGGATGCAAACTTATCTGCGAAGGGTTATTTGGGTGTTAGCTTAAATGTATCTACTCTGTTTGATTTGGGACTCGGACCAGCTAGTCACTGTCTGGAGGACCGTCCTTTCTGCACTGCTAGTTCAATTAAAAGTAATTTTCTTAAGATTCGATGAGAAGTCAAAGTATGTGGGAGTTCATAAACTATTCTGCTTGAATTTAATCAGTCTGTTGTGTGCAATTTCATTGGCATGATAGAAGATATCGCTAGTATTCTGGCTAGCTATGCCGATTAATATTGAACCGTTTAGAAATAAAAGATTTGGAGACGAATCTGAAAAATCAAAATATGTGCAAGCTTTCGTTCCCGTCAACTTCTCAGCTCCATGAAATGGTAAGTGTTATAAATCAATCGATGTGAAACACAAATATAGTTGAGGAAACCACATGTAGCTAATCGATGCGATCTTTAAACCAGCTGAGAATATTTAGTTGATTTTTTTTGCAGATCCTCACGGTGTGCCCCCAGGAAGGCATTTATAGAGGAGGCGTTTTCAAATTTTCGATCTCGGTACCTCCTGAGTATAACAATGTGGTAAGAGTTGCTACTTTTTGTTGCTGTATGTTAAGCTAACGAGCTCTCGAAAGGATGGCTCCCCTGACACTGAATGATTTTTAGCCTCCCACTGTCAAATGCTTGACGCGAGTCTTCCATCCAAACATAAATGAAGATGGCAGCATCTGTCTATCAATTCTTCGAGAAAATTCCTTGGATGCTTTTGGATGGCGACCGACGAGAAATCTTTCGGAGGTTATGCTTACGTTCTTTTTCATCTATCACTGACTACTTGATATGCTCTGTACTGAAAGAAAGCTGAACGGGGAGGCTCGGCTAGGAGGTCGTTGGCTGGGTTAGCATTCGAATTGTTCGCACCTTTCACTGAACCCTCGGATTAACAAAAAGCATCACAGGTCTTTATGCTTTGAACATTCCTTTTACTTATTAATTTATTATCGTATAAAAAGGATCGCGATCAGATATCATCTGCGTGGATCCCCAACATAAATATGTTGGCAAATATTTTCTAGAATCTAAGGGTCTTTTTAGAGTGGAACGCAGAAATCAGTTTTCGTTCGAAGCCACCTCTTTGCAGTTTTGTTTGAGTTTGTTTGCAGTTTGTTAAGAAGTGGTTTCTTGAAGACAAATTGTTACGAAATTTCATTCTTTAACGGAGCGCAGAAAAAATCGTAGGCTTAGATTGCGATTGCGACACTTTTTCGTAGGATCTTCATTTTATAAAGTACATGGGTAAGGATAGAAGTTCGGTGGTCTCCGCTCTGTAGGCTTTTTTCAAACCATTTGTTCAGATTGGTTCCTTACTGCTGTTTTTTTTTTCAAATCACTATTTCATTACTTCCATGAATACTGTACTCCCCTAGATTTCGAAGCTGTCATAAAAGTGGTCCGAAAATACCTCGTTCGATAATTACTTGTTCAAATTGGGGCTTGAACAATATGTATAATTCTCTATGTTATATAAAACATTATATGGGTATACCGGTACAATTGTTTGAAAAGACGTGCCTCCCACTTGATGGTATCATTTGTGTTACATCTTTTGAATCCATAAGCATCTTTTACACTTATGAACCACGAAAGCCAGCCGATAGAAAGATTTAAACCAGTTCTCGCAGTATTCGAAAATCCTGTTTCTCAATTGGAGCCGTGCATAGTAAAAAATGATAGTCACAAGACAAAAAGGCTAGTTCTTTACAAAGGGAGACTTGTGATATATCAACTATTTGTTTATCGCATTTTCAAGTGAGGAGCATTTCTTAGTACATGTTAGAGAAGCAGGTTTCAAGCCTTTCCGAAATTGATACTAAAAGACAGTTCGAAGTGTTCAGGTAATTCACGGCCTGTCATCTTTGTTCACGGATCTCATCGACTTTGACGATGCACTGAACATGCAAGCCGCCCAACTATGGTCGACAAACCGTGAACAGTTTACGCATCGCGCCCGTGAATACATTGCAAAATACTGTGAGCGTCGCTGAAAGTCATGCATTTTTCTCACTTTCACAGCTGGATTTTCGAAAAAAAAAAGTGTACCATTTTGGCATTGACAACCGTTTGTATTCTTAGAGTACGAATTAATCGATAAACTTATGCTATATGACGAATTTTTATTGGAAACAACACGTAAATAAACAAAGTCGAATGTAAACAGTAAGAACACGACAGTTGCTCAATATTAAATTTATGAAACAAGTGAATTTTAGATGGGCTTGATCTTGAAATGGAGTCCAATTAGGGAGAACACAAGACATTTGAGATCCTGGACCAGATAGTAGAATGAACGAAGTCCATCAGGATCCTGGAAATAAGCCATTGGAAGTTAGAGCTTCAAGGGTCGAAAACAATATGTACTTTGACAGCATTGAATTTTCTTAGTACATGTAACAAATCGTTTTTCCGCAGAACCCTGCGTGAGGTTTTCAAGAAGAGACTGATCACAAATTGTAGCCTCACAAAGTTGGCGATTCATGGGCAAAACTTCGGCATTGCACGGGATCCGAACCCATACTTGTGCTTTTCGGGCACCGTGCTCTTTACCGATTACCCTATCAAGCCCGTAAGAGTCCGAAGTTCTGCTCACCACGAAAGAACCTTCAATTAGTGACTTTCACTAAACATTTAAAGAAGTACTTATTCATTACAACGCTCAACGAAATTCTGCATTACTTTATCGTCGATTCTCTGCTTCTCCTAAAATAGGAAACTACAAAACCAAAACAATTTAATTACCTTGCTATTGTTAACGTCTGCCAATGAGCCGATTTTTCCCGTCGTGAAGGAAATGTGCTCGTTATTCATCAAAATCTCAAGCTCCTGTCGTCCTACTTTATCCGGTTCCGGCCAATTAGCATCATCCTCCTTGAAAAACGAAGCAATAACTCAGCAATCTTATATGTAATAGAAAACACTTCATGTGAAAAAACTCGCGAACCTGCATTATTTCTGAATCCTCGACAATTCTCTTCAACTCCTGCAGGACTGCCGGCGATATAAACGCCTAAATTCAAATCACTTATTTAAATATTTCACAACTAAAATCCAGCAGAACTTGCCTCCTTCCGAATAATTGTATCATTCTTGTAATTCGAATTGTTAGCGTATCGCAGCTGGCCATTTGGTCGGAATTCAAATTCCAAAAATTCGTGACCGAACTTTCCTTTGTGTCCGACATAATACCTTACGTAAAAGTCCGAAGCACTAATCGCATCACCGTCAGACATGTTCTGAATACCAAATATAGTTGAAACAAATCAAACAATAGGCAAGTTTAAGTATCTTGGGAACTGAGAACCCAGGGATCAATGAGCATCGAAAAATGATCGCCATTTATACAACAACGTGAACGATATTGTACAATCGAATCCACAAAAAAAAAAGAAATTTCCCTCAAACTGTTTCAAAAAACGTTAAGAAATCTTAAAAGTAAAATAAATGGACAAAATTAAACCGTACACTGTGAAGATCATATCGTAAACAATGGATTGGAAATAAATCACATTCACTTCAGTAATATCATAGCCTAACGTTTAATAATTTTAGGTTTAACCATTCAGGATCCAGCCCGTACATGAACACCGAGGTCAGCAGGCGGATAGGGCCTTAACCTTAGGTAAGTACAAAAGAGGAGATTCAAGGCTGCTGATAGGAGCTGCTGGAAATCTCTGCGATGATTAAACCGTCAACAAAAATCACTTACAAGCAAAATTCAATGCATAGTGACATTTAAACCGGATTCCAAAAAATATACTGCTTGAGAAGAAGCTTCCAGTAGGACACTTGAAAACGGTAATGTGGACAATATAACAGAGTGGTAAACCAAGAAAAAGTCATAATGCACGAGACCACGTTATGAAGTCATCGATTCAAATGCTGTCTTAGATTCACGCAAGATTCGGTTAGGTTTGAAAACCGAAAGTGAGGGAGTTGTTAGTGTTCAAATTGGCGGAGCACTCCCATCATCTTCAGTCTTGGGTTTCTTTTCTTCACTGTCTTTAGCAAGTGGACTACCGGCCGGTCGTTTGTAGCTCTGGAAATGTTGCACTGATTTATTTACTCTACCCTGCACGTAGAGAACTATTCAATCAGATAGACGATGGGTGGAGTGTTAAGGCAATGAAAGGAGTGAGATTACAAGACAAAACACCACTTACCTGTACATCTTTGGCGCCCTCCTTAGTGGTATCATAAAACTCTCCCTCGTGTTCTATATGAGAATCGCTGACAGCAAAAGGTTCCCGCACCTTAAAAGTGCATAGAAATAATTACGACAACCGAGACAATGCCAACTTTCTGGCCAAAAACAAGCGGGAATATCACTACTTTGACCCAAAAACAATAAGCATCGATCAATGGGCACAATAGTTCCTAATGAAGCCGTATAAGTTCAATCACATAGAAACAAAATTCACAGGCAATTACTAATAAAACATTGGATACAATCGAAGCAACCGCGTGAAGGAATGACTTACATCTGGATTAGAGTGATCGAGCAGCAACGATTTATCTGGCATGTTCAAGGCATCCGGTGGAATCGGCTGCATCTGCACAGATGGTGCATAGGGCAACTCGCGAAGATTTTCAAATAACCTCGTCTGAGAAAAGAGTATTTGCTATTAGATAATGATGAGTAGATCAAACAATCAGATTCGGATCGAATTACTGCTAGAGAAAACGAACCATAGTCTTTTCCAAATAATCCCTCGTGTTCTGATTTGTCATGTTCGATCTTTCTATATGCAGCTTAAAGTCAGGACCAAAATACTCGAAGTAATCGTTGTAGGGCAATTCTACAATAAATACTGGCTGAATACAATTAGCTGACCTTTTAAATACTTCTTCGTAGCAAAAGCTTACCGTTAGCGATTTCAGTCTCAACAGCTACAGATGTTTCATAAGTCCAGCAACGAGAGACATTTCGGATGGTATACCCTCCTCCACCGACCATCATCAAGGGAACACCGAACTTTTTCAGAAAAGCGACACATTTTCCATGCCCTAAAACATTTCTCGATTAGCTATCGCGAGTACGCTTGAAAAACACAATACGAATAAGCCGGCGTACACATCTCTAATCAAGACGGCAGTGACAAAGAATTCGATAATTTCAAGAGATGCCTGGTGTATATACTCTGCACTAAGCCGCTTGCCAATTTATATTTGTCCGTAAAGGCAATGGTTGGGAGAAGGATGAGGTGAGCAATGCCTATGGGACCGTTTTCTACAGATTTATGCATGACCGGTTCGATCCAATAGAACGTTGAAAAATCCTGCGGTTCGATCCAATAGAACGTTGAAAAATCCTGCATTTTATTATGCCTATACCTGCGGGATGAGGCGATGACAATTTGGTGATTTTTTCTTTCCATATATCTCAAGCATGTATTTAACAACTCTGAATGACACCTCAACTTAAAAACAATTGTGTTATGGTACTATAATAGTACGTCCACGTACTATTATAGTACCATAACACAATTGTTTTTAAGTTGAGGTGTCATTCAGAGTTGTTAAATACATGCTTGANGACTCAAAGGAAATTTTTCCAAGGCCGTTTTGAGGGAAAAGGGGTTTTGAAGAGCTACTTTACGAAGGATTTAGAAGTGAATTTCATCATGTTCTTCTTGTTCACATTATGTCATAGCAATGGGCCTTGATCATATGTTCACAGCACCTAAAAAGCAGCACAGTTACTATGCGTTCGGTTGTTTAACACATAGATAACGGAAGCTCTTAACATATTGGGAACAGAATGCCATAGCAATGGGTCTTAATCATATGCTTCTCTTTCTCCTAAAAACACAAAAATTCCGTAGCGCTCTCTTTAGTCCCACGGCATAACAATGAAGGTTTTTGGGGAAGCAAAGTAGCCTAACACGTTGATCCTACTGCGATTATCGCTGCCGAACCCTATGACTTAGCTCAGAAATACTAGAAAAGCAACCATCGTCAGCTCAGAAATACTAGAAAAGCAACCATCGTCGTAAAAGTGCAGCGTAGAATGAGGAGCCAATTTCAGAGAAGGCCAAGAGAACTCTATTCGTCAAGGAGAATCATAAAGCGGCACCATACACTGGTAACCATTGCCATCACTGCATTACCAATCACGAATATTGGTTGGCCGATCCTTCAATCGCAATAAAAGGACGAGTCACTATCATCAACTACTTCAGCGCACTCGCCACTTTCACTTTTTTTTTGAGTTTGGCCCCGCGGCCTCATTCCGTATCGCTCTTTTTCCCGTAGAGTGCATGCTGGCTTCCCTGTTGGTTTTGAGTTTGTCACCCACCACGATTTTGTCAATGCTTGGTAGAGGGCACAAAGGGCTCTACAAATGGCAATTGTGTGAAAGACAAATAAGCAAAAGAATTACCTCTTAATGTTAGGTTGAAACATCCGAGTCGATCGCCCGTAAGTGAATCAGCACCACACTGAAGAACTACAGCGGATGGTTGGAAACATTCCATAACTTTGCGTATCACGGGAGTGAAGATACTCTGAAATAAAAGAAAGTGACCGATGGATCATTTGCCACAAAAAAAAGGAACTGAACTCATTGAGAAAAAAGAGCGACCTAACCTCGTAGGTCTCATCATCAATGCCGTCACGTAAAGGGAAATTGAGTGCGTAATATTTTCCCTTCTCTGCTCCAATGTCCTGGAACATTTAAACGTACTTCTCCAAACTTGCTATATGTTCTAAATAGTCTTTTAATCCCAAGGGGTGCCAGAGGGTACAGTCAAGCATAGACAGGCTCAAATGACCATTCAATTCCATCAGGCTTTTTCATTTGCACAATTCACTCTTCACCTAATCCTAGATGAGTTCATGGCAAAACTATGGGCTGCTGCAAAAACAGGAGAAGATGTAAAAGCAGAGTAATTCGCATATTACATTTTTGTATAATCTCAACATTTTTCATTTTTAGTGAACACACTCACATAAAACTATGAGCGATTCAAATGTCCTCCTTAACATTCAGATGCCTTTCAAATTTTCATGTACTGATAGTGAAAAAGACTAAACTCGAAATACCTTAAGATCACCGGTTCCCGGGAAATACTCTCCGTATTTATGAAACGACACTGTCATGACTCTATCAGTAGTGTAGAAAGCCTCTTCCACTCCATCGCCATGATGAATATCGATATCAACGTAGAGGACACGCTGCAATAATTGAAAAACATCCAAGAGAAATGTTGAAGTTGATAAAAAAATTATAAGGCCAGTTGTAAAATACGGTTTTATCGCAAAGACAACAAAGACAAGAAGAGAAATCAAATCCGTAAAATAGCAAATGTTTGGGCGAAGAATATTTCCAGTCTTCATTTGTGTATGCCAATAATTTTGTAGCACTTCTAGTTTTTTGAGAGTCAAAGTACAGAGCCATTATTTCAAAAAGAACGAAAAAGATGGAAGGGGTTGCAAATAGGTTAGCTGTGGGCGATCGAAACCCTACATATTTTGCAAAGAGCGAGAACAATGAGGAGCCTATCTCCTACAGTAACGATTCATACTTAGTTGAGAAATGATAGGAATGAAACAGCTGCTCCTGAAGAATGGATGAAAGAGGCAAAAAACTTTGTTGTATGTAATCTGATATACGGGATAGAATCTCTATTCAAACGCCCATAAATGCAAATATACACATCTCACTTGCTGATTTTTTACCTAATCTCTTGTTTTTCATCAAATTATCGTGCCCGCTCTCGTAACAAAAGGGCATTCTCTATTAACCCTATAACATAAATTGCAGTAGAGCAAGGCTAACAGAGAAGACTATTGAGTGCTTTCATCTCTTCATAGTTGCAATCGTGATAAGGCCTTTTCTGTGGGCTTATCAGAACCTTGAAGGAAAGTCATGTCAGCCTATCTACTTCCTGAATGAACAACATTAAGAGGTAGCAACACGAAATTGCTTGTAATTAGGTACCTAAAAAAGAGCAGTCACCTTCATATGTAGAGAAAAGTTAGTTACGATCCTAATAATACTTTAAGTAGAGGCAGGTATCGGTATTATCAAGGAGGTAGGTATAATCAAACCCGAAGTGCATTGGGTAAGGCGAAAAAAAGTATTCCTTTTGAAATATATGCCTATGATGACATGTTACCGGTACACCTTTTGAGTATCTATGTATATCAAGTAGTCATTACGATGCCAGTTCGGTCTACGACAAATGGCTGCATGCTACCCATCCTAGTTGTGCAACTAAGCTGTTCCCGATAAAGGATGGTGGCCAAATTCAGATACACCGCTAGAAGATATGAAAGTTTGTCATTCGAATTAGGTACATTTACTAGAACGTTGAAAAATATCCCCAGTATATTTGACAAAGGCTTGAAACCCACTTGGTGATGCTTTAGTAGCTCCAAAATAGCCAACACGATGTCGTTACTGTAACAGAATCCGCTAGCTTCACTTTTCTTGGCATGATGGAGGCCTCCCATCCAATTAATGGCAATATCAGCGTGTTTGCGGTTGAGCTTTGTTGCGGCAGCTACAACGAGAAACAATTCAGAAAACATCGACGACAAAGTTCGAAAGTGGGGAACCATATATTCGCTTACCTAATGATCCCCCACAGGACAATTGACAGAACTCAAAAACCCCATCGAAGACAGGACAATCCTGGAAAGTAAAAAAAATAATATTAAGCCTAGATACTACGAAAGTTCGAGGACCTCACCTCTCCAACATTGAAACGCTGCATTTGTTTTGTGTAATCAGATATATTATCTGGTCGAATGTTTTTGAGAAACATCATGTAGTCGTCTGAATGGTATTTGGTCATCTCCTCAAAAGTGGCTGGAGTTGGCCTCTGAAAGAGATCAGCGCTGGCTATGAACATCTTGAAGAATTAAGAAATAGACTCACGTAAACTTCGAGCTTTCTGTAAAGGCCGTAATTGAGCAATAAGTTATGAGTCATGCGTATACGATGAGGCTTCATTGGATGTCCTTGTCCATAATAATAATTACCTACGTCTCCTGAAATTCTACCTCTTCAAAAGAGAAATACAACAAAATGCTGAAAAAACATGAAATTTCAACAGGTATATCCTGTAGTAGTTCCTGTGGCTCGATATGATTGATTTTAATAGTGAATTCTGATTGGGGTTCCTATAGAGCTAAAATCTGCCACTCATCCCTTCAATCGAGATTTCGTCAGTAGTAAAACCCTTGCCACTTCATATACAACTAATCTAAGACAATTGTAGAACATTTTGAGTTTGCTCTCCTAACATGTATTACAACAAAATCCTAGATTCTTGCATCGATGCTATACAAGTTTGCTGGCGAACCATTTTGGTGAAATCCTACGCGACAAATACGTAGCTACGGCTACGGCTGAGTTCTCTGACCATTAATAGCCACCTAAGGCTTTTACGAGCTCCAAATAAAACTAGGAAATTCCTTCTCGAGATAAGGGCATAATGAGGGAGGGGACATTCATCCAATTCTGGATGTTTGCGAAGAACTGCGCGACGAAGTTCCTGGTGATTAAAAAAACTCCAGCGCCATCATTGGGGCACAAATTCGAAGTAGGGTAGATAAGTAGCATCAGCTGGCACTATTTATTCAATCTATTCAAAATCTGTGTCCCAATGATAGACGCCAGAGTCGTTTAAATTACCTCGAATTTCGCCGCGTCTATTCAGGATTAGGTGAATGTACCCATACCCATGCATAACTGAAAAAAAGGGGATGGGAGAAGTAGAAAGATGGGGTTGTAAACAAGTGTGCGAGAACACTGAAAAATCAACAGACAAGTGAGAAGGGGAAAAAGTTGAGTGGTAAGAACCACCACCACTATCCTGTAAAATGACTGCTGATTAAAAAAAGTAAAGTCGAGGATTTTGAAGCTCAACAAATTTGGTAGCATTACCCAATCTAGGTAAAACTAAGTCATGAATCTTCCATTAATTCAAACAGAAGTTGGTTTTTGAAATCTCACCGTCGTAATAGTAAGCTATCCTGGTCTTTCCATGTGGTTGCACCGCCATTTGGAAGTTGTACCTAGAAACGAAACATTTTCAAAAGGTAATTTTTGGTCCGGAATTGTTTTCGAAAAGTTATCAACAGAGTGAAATTGCAGTAAAGATGCTAGTTGTTCTTTTCGTATGAAGTAAGGATTGTAAACGGCACACGTGAGGAAAGAAGGTCAAGTTATAGCAGACAAAGAGAATGTCAAGAATATCGCTTGCAACCCTACAAGCACTGCCGAAAATTACAAAGGCAAAGACCACATTAGCACAGCAATCACAGCGATAGGACGTGTAACGTAAACAACTCCAAAGTTCGCTGACAACCGTAAACAAAATCACAACTACACAACACACTCGCCATTTGCGGGAACAACGCCAAAAATCCGAAAGTTGAATCTTGGCGAACGCAGCGCAACAGCATGCGTCTGTAATTGCGGCATAAGTGAACTACAGTAGGGTAAAACTAGCTGGAAGGGCCTTTGAAGGGCTTAACTTTTCATTTTGCAGGCATATCTTGTATGTAGAATACACGGTTGATATTTAGTGGCTCTGATCACGAGAAATTTATTTGTTGTGGCCAGCTTGACATGGTTGGAACCACGAAAGTCGCTATGATGCGGAGTATTCTTGACAAATGTGGAGTTCTACTTCGATGATTTCTGTTTTGTTCTTCGGAAGGGATGCCCATTCGATGAATTGCACGAAGTATTCGTAGAGGTTCCTCGTTGAACACCAATAGCTCAGGCATGGCATTATTGAGTGGTAACCTTGCAGGGGTTTGCAAGGTTAACACTCAATAATGCCATGCCTGAGCTTCTGCTCGGTACACCTCAATAAAGGATGGGAGAATGGCAGTAGGAACGGTTTTGTGTAATCGATTCGCCGCGCGCGGCTGTCGCGTCATTCGCTTTGCCCTTGTTACAGTTCTAGTGTTCTTCATACAGCTCAATCGATATGCGATCATTATTTTAGGCATGATTCTACAGTTAGTTCCTTTGTTCCTGTATTCTTACCTGTTCCTGCATTCTGCTACATTCCTTCGCGCGCGGCGTCTCTCCCGCCGCGATGCGACCATTTCGTTCCTACTGCACCACACCCATAAAGGATCAGTATAAAGGCGTTGGTCTAATACTTTTGGGATGCCTTCTCCCCCTCGACTTCCATTCGGGAGCGTAATGGGGTATTGAATGCGTGTGTGACCTATACAATGACTAGCGGTGGTGAGCCACGTACATGTCAGTGCTTTTATCCTCCCAGACGAGTCTATCATCAATTGACGAGCCTCGGAGGAATAGAAGGTCGTACATGAACTGCTATCATGCTTGCCACTACATAAGATACCAAACGTAGAGCTTTCCTATTTGTTTCAGGAACTTGGCAAAGTCATTTGTACGAAATTCGTCACTTCGTCGTTCCAAATACAGTGTTGAGGAACTCGCAATGTTTCCGGGATTACATGCTTCTATAAGACTTATTGCACTCGGTTCAACGCAGCTGCATTTTAAGAACCGAGGGGGTGTCTTTCCCCACAAGGCTTCTTCCAAACGCCCGAATAGGGAAAATCTAGGGGTCCCATTGATTCTTTCTATCTTCCTGAATAGCTTGCTCTGTCTACATTATGCGTGGAAGAGGTAGAGGGAGGAGGAGGTGTCGCGCCATGATGTTCATACACGCATGACCACGGGTTCGAATCTTGAATCGATAGGCCATCCAAGCATTCCATCCCTCCAGGGTCGATAAATTGGT